TCCACAGGTGTAGATCCACTGATGTCAGGTACAGGTGTACTCGGCCATTCTTCACGGGGTGACGCCCGACTGGACTCTCCTGCTCCGACATCATCACCTTTAAACAGATCAAAAGCATCGGCTCGTGTCCACCCTTCAGAATCAACAGATGCATCACCAGGTGTACCACTATCCCCTCCACTTAAAATTACATCTACAATGTCGGTCCCGCCTTTCTCCTCCTCAATTAACGGACCCCAAAAATCCATGTCATAGTTAACAGGTAGAACATCTTCGTCGTCCAAACCCTCATGCACTGTTACATTTTCACCAACCCATACTTCCTCTGGACTTTTCATCTTATTCACTTTGTCACTATATAGCTTCTCCACTTAGTCAACATGGGTTAAAAGGTCCTCATCTCCAAACTCACTTTCGTAGTCCAATACCATAGGAATGACTCTTCCATGCACTGGTTTTTGAACTGAACGCTCTCTTACTATTTGTTCCGGTATATCACCACTGATGCCCACCTTTGAACCAGTATTAACGAACGCCCCAGCGCTATCTTCTACACCAGATTCGCCATTCTTCGACAGCAACGCAGAGTCATTGCTTTTCGATACAAACCCGTCTTTCTTGCTAGTGATTACCGGTGTTCTGAAACCTCCAGAGAGTTCCAAAATCTCAGCTGCCTTCTCACTCCTACCGGTTTCATCAAACCTAACAAACAAATTCATTGACATATTTATTCGTAGATGCTGGAAGAAAAACCATAAACCTCCATCGTTTTCCACATAAACTGGCGGTGTCCTGATACCGGTAGTCATTGCAGTCGTATCAGGTGGCCAGTAACTTAGAAAAGCAGTTGTATTGCCATCTAAAACATGTCCGAAAGCTGTCAGAATAGTTGAGCTCAACTCCTGAATACCAATCCCTTCTCTAATGGGAACTACCCTCGTCATTTTCGTCTTGTCAATCTCGAAGTTGAAAACCCCTTCAGCAGAACAAATCCATTGACCACACGTGACCAAACAATGCTCACCCATTTCAACCTAAAGCACATGGACCACCAAAAAAAAATGTAAATCACAAACAATTACGAAAATCGCAGAGTGGTCGAGTTGGTGTATTAATAATAATACAATTAAGTGAGTAAACAATGCTAAAATATAAAGAATGATGTTCTTTTAAAAATAAAATCTCACTTTGAGACAGAATTCAGAAACTTACCTAAGAACCCTAGCAAACTTCTTGCCACCACTCACACTTACTAAACTAGGTTTAGTTATGGACAACTCCTCCGTCTGCACACTTCCCTCCAAAAGCAAATACAATATCTACCACCCTTGAAACGTGTTCTATTGCTCACCGTCAGATTGCCTTTGACTTAATTGCAACTAACTTGTTATTTAGACACGTAATCATCACAAGCAAGTGGATAAAAGGTGTGATTACAACCACAAATCAATTACCGTACTCTTCATAGTAACACTCTTACTTTAATAATATTTTCCCAGAACAGGTTTAGTCAACTGTAATAGTTTATTAAACCATCCACATCCACGTTAATTTAAAAAAGAACAAAATGGATACCTCATTTGCTGTTGGTCCATGTAATAAACTCAATAAACAATAGAATGTTTCCTTAAACAAAACATAAACAACGATCGTATTATAATATTACTAGAAACAATCGTGGAAAAATTTCAACCTTAAAACCTGACCAACACACTAAAACTCCTATGTACTTTTCCTTTCATACAACGTGCCGTGGATAATGTGTTACTTGTCCACCGCCGGCCGTTATATCGCTACCAAATATCGTGGACATACGTTGATGGACATCCGTTGTGTTTAGGTGCATCATATACTGTCAAACACCCCTAAAACTCTATGTACTTTTCATTTTGTACAACGGTCCGTGGATAAATGTCACTTAACCACCGCGGGCCGTTATATTGCTACCAAAACATTGTGGATATACGTTGATGGACATTCGTTGTTTTTAGGTGCATCATATACTGTCCTTAACACAATATTCGTTACTTTTAACAAAAATCTTAGAACATAAATATACAATTATGTTATTAAGTAATATTGCAAGAAATAAAATATTTAACAAAAGAAAGGCACATCCAAACTTCCTTTATGTTATCCACTTCCATTATTCTTCACTAGCTCCACAGTTATAGGTTCCTACAATGAAACCAAAACAGATATAAGTTCTCAACAATAAATACAATACCAATGACACGATTTCAGGTAACATTACAAATACCTACATGTTAAAGGAAGTAAAGGAGGCTCCAATGCTGTTATGGGATTACAATGAGTCTCTGATGTCGGGGAGATTGGGTTTATAAAACATCGATAAGATTCTTTCCAAGCAAATGTATGGAAAAATTCAGACACCAAAGTTTCATAAGGTATCCCAAGCCTATCCGCCCCCATTATTGCATGGCCACATGGAAAACCCAACTTATCATATATTTTGCATGAACATGACTTCTCGTAAAAATAAACAACATGCCTCCAACCAAATGTACCAGAGACCTCACAACTCAAATGCGTAATGTCAACTATTTCGGTGTACGTACTGACAATCTGGTTAAGCCTAAGTAGACGCATAACACCAAGCGTTAAGACTCCTATATGGGAATTGGCTTCCGTTCTCCTGGAGTTATACCACCTACACATCATACTCAAAATACCCTCTACTAACTTAATTATATCCAACCCAACAAAGTCACATAGATCTACTCCTACTTGCTCATCCATTGTTGTTGACAGCATATCGTAACACATCACCTCGGAATGAGCCCGACACCAGTGCTTCACACCCAGGTTTTTTAAGTACTCCCAACATGGCTTACTCAAATCATTAATCTGTTGGAATAGCTCTGTAAAATGCCAGCTTGTATACGCTTTACCTGCAGCACTTACCAATTCTCCAAGTTCGGTGTTCCCGAAACGCCAATCAACATAACTACTAAGATGTTTAAGACAGATCCAATCATGTGAAAAAGGATATACCATCTTCTTAGCTTGCCTAACAGGGCCACGTAACGGGGAGACAATGCAAAGCTTAGAGGTGTCAGGAATCAGTTCTTCCAGCTTCTTGAGAAACCACAACCACGAGTCCAGGTTCTCCATAAGTACTATACCAAAAGCCAAAGGGTATACCTTGAAATTTGCGTCCTCACCACAAGCTGTTAGTAGTACTAGTTTAAACTGGCCACCCATCTTTCTCTTGTTTAAGACTATGACATCCCTAATCATCCGGAAACCAATGTGGGTTGCTCCAAAAGACAAAAACAAATTTTTAAATCTAACCCTGCCTTCACCGAACGTTTCGGTCCCTATATCAGCAACGGAACCTGGATTGGCAATTTTCAGTCGTCGGATGTATGTGGGAAGTACCCTAAAGGCTTCGGCTTCAGCGGCTGCCATCTTTAGGTTACAAAAACAAAACCAAATGCAGAGACGTACTTATAGGACGGCACAATTTTAAGTGGCTAGACAACAAAACTGTCCATCATCTCTATTCCATAAACTATGATCCAAGGTTACGCATACAGCGACCACATCGGTGATAGAAACGCTGTCGACGAATAAAGCTTGATATTCCGATAAAAACGAAGTCGACGAAAACATCGAACACAAAACTCAATCAACCAAAACCGATTGTCGGTGGTGTACTTCTTTCGATTATCGTCGGTGGTGTACTTCTTTCGATTAGTTGGGATGAGAAAGCGCTCTTGTGTACTCCTTTCGATTAGCAAGAGCTGGGCAACAAAATAATTTCGCTGAGAAACAGCAGAGATAATTTCCCTGGAGTTTACTACCTAAACAGAACCACCACACAGAAAACGCCGGGCAACAAAAAAAGGTGGAGATGGAGATGGAGATGAGAGTTTATTCTTCATATTAACCCAAGCGGTAAAACTGGACAAAGGTAATTTGGAGATGAGGGTAAACTTGCCCTTTCGAAAATACAAACAGTTGTCAAAGTCCCCTTATTTTTTAAAGTCACTAAACTTGTAATAAAAAATGAGAAAGTGGGTCAGCGTGATAGAAACTCTTATTTAAATGATGTAAAATTTGTTTACATCACTTATCACTTATAAGTAATGCAAATATATAAAATAAATGATTTAAAACACAGTTTTTTGTAGTGAGGTGATAAGCTGGATTATTCCCTAATAATATTATGAAACTGGATTTTATTTTTTTGAATTCAATTCTCGAATGTAAAATTAATTGAAAAAACTAACTAATAAAGTTTTTTTTGGTTAAAAGGCAAACGAATTGATAAAGTTATTTCAAAGTACACAATAAAGTATTTACCAAACCGAAAAAAATCGAATAAAAATTATATTAGATTTGTGAAAATGAGACTTTAGTTACGTGTGGATACTTGATACCAAAGTGGAACCAATATATAATGCTAGAGCATTTTACAGCAGCACTACTGCCCTCGTCATCTTTATAAACCAACTAAGAAATAATTATAAAATAATTAGAAGAAATCATTAAATGGGAGGATCGAGTAAACAACTTTAGCAAAATTATTGAAAAACAATAAATTTCTACAATGTGGTCAAAAGATGTGAGGAACAAAACGAATAGCTAGTAAGAAAAGGACTCAACACTTGCACCCTCTTTTGTTTTTAAATTTGTCATCATTATTCCTTAGTTTCTCTCTTTACTACCTTTCACATTTTTTATGTTTTGTATGTGCATGTTTGTCTATTCAACTTTCCTACTGGCAATGATGAGAATGAGAAGATCGAAAAACCTTTTCTTTTCTCTTTTGCATCAAAGGGATTTTGTTCATATGCTTTTTGCTAGCTTTTAGAAGATTCAATTTCTTATTCTTATGGTAAAGTAGAAACTAATATTGACCAACCCAGAGACTTTTTATTTATGAAATAGGAACTACTGTTGGTGAAAATTAAATCTTGAATAACAGGTAAAAGAAAAACACGATTAGATTCTTGTCTCTACCCAGCAAATAGAGTCAGGTATATATAAGTTTCGGGCCACCAAATTTATATATATATATATATATATATATATATATATATATAGTGTTGCTTGGAAAACAGAGAATTTTTAATTAACAAAACAAACATAGAAATTGTCACTTTTTTTCAAACAAAAAAAAAAACGGACGAATTGTCACAGATAACTTCAGCAATATTACGTACGTACGTACTAAGTTAATGAACACATTTATAGATTCAATAGAGATACTTTCCCTTACTCTTTACTTTGATTCGCCTTACCAAAAGTCCATGCACAACGGCAACAACCTTTCCAAAACTTTTAGTTTCTAATATTAGATGTCGTCTGT